GAGGAGGAAACTGTAGATATAAAAGCTGTTCTCTTTACCTTAAAGTGAACAACTCTGAGGGGCCAACCTCATTACAATTCAAATTCTCCCTTTGTCATCTAGTATCCCCCATCCCTCATTGGTATTGTTCCTGGGTATATTCCTCATTAACTTCCTGCATGCAAATTTCAAAGTCTCACAATCTGTTTCCCAGGGAACCAACCTGTCACAGATCCCAGGGAGGGAGCAACTTGCTCAAATTCACAAAACTAGTTAATAACAGAGTGAGAGTTAGGACTCAAATAAAATGACCTCATTCCTTTCCAGCGCTCTTTCTACTTTACCAAAATATGTCACACTCAGGATGGAAAGGACCCAGGACCTTTAAGGCAAACTTTGTTCTACTAGGATGTGGCAAGAAACTAATTTCATGGTCTGGTTTCTCCTTTCAACTAAAATATTTTCTGAAGTGTTTTGACTGAACATGAGAAATAAACCATTCTGCACTTCCAGACTACAGAACTGTCTACATCCCAAATGAATGTTAAGGCTGAGCAGGAGAACATGCCAACAAAAAGCAATAAAAGCACTGATTGACACTGGATCCAACTAGGGTGGTGGCAACTCTGTGGCAAGACAGAGTCCACTGCTGGCTGAATTCTGAGTAAGGTACATGTGAGGCCAGCTCCTGTCTCCAGCTGCCTGCTCTCTGCTATGATCTGCATTCCATCTAAATCAGGGCTGGGTGAACAAGAGGTTCTCTGGGAAAGCAACATCAGTTTGGCAGCTTCTTGTTTTGCCAAAGCTCTGTAGTCCTTGTCAAGGGTTGCATGGCTTAGAAGCAAACATTTGGTCGGGAAGCATCCCATAAACTGTCCATCTGCTTCTGATCCAGTTGAAATAATTCACAGATTCAAGACCATTTGGTGGAATTTGGTCATTCCACACAGCCTGCCCCAGACTTAAGAGCACTGAGGAAGGACAGGGCGAGAGTGAACTCTGCTGTGTCCTGGTAAGGACTGGCCCTGCATGTGGGACATTTGTCTGGTTTTCCATCTTTTAATAATTCCAACTCCAAAAGTTGGGGGTCAAATTCAGGTAATAGCAGAGTTATCGCTCTTCTATGTCTAACCATAGGTAGCAACAACATGCAGAAAAATTCAGCTTCAATTACAGCTTGTTAAACACCAATTGTCCCAGCCATTATGTTTGAAGTTTTCAACTGTGACTGTTTCTTCTCTGAAATATCCATGGTTTCTCCTCCTCCCACCCTCCCACCCCTAAGTGCAGACCATGCCATCAATGTCTCTGGACTACTTTAGTTTCTGCCATTGCTTTGGAAGTTCCCTATCTCCTCTAGCTCTTTTTCAAAGTATGACCTACTGTCTACCTTCATCACAATCACCTTGAGTTCATATTAAAATTACAATCCTTGGATCCAGACCACTGAGATCAGAATCACTAGTAGGGAGACCCAGAAAACTGCATTTTGACAAGTTTCCTGGGTGCTTGTTACACACACTAGCAGCAGAGATAAAATTCATATCCTTGGCATAGCATACAGGCCATTTAAATCCTGGACTCAGCCTATCTTAATTAGCTATCTCTTAACTCTTCTTCCATACATTATGCTCTAGCTCCCTATTTTCAGAAACATGCCTTCCCTTTCTGGCGTGCTAACCCTGCCCTTGTTCACATGGGAACTCCTGGTTAGCTGGGTAACTTGTCTTTACTTCACCTGCGCACTCATCACATTTTTACATT